AGCTGCCCCCGCCACGATGTCAAAATCGTGCTTGGCGACTTTAACGCCAGGGTGGGCAAAGAAGGTATCTTTGGCACTACGGTCGGCAAATTCAGCCTCCACGAAGAAACATCCCCAAATGGGTTGAGGCTGATCGACTTCGCCGACACTCAATATTATAACATGTTGCGGACACATATTGCGGAGCAACATATGAGTTCAGCTTTTTATTTCATATCTATGCATGTGTGTATGTATGTATACGTATTTAAGTAACTTGATATTGTAAAATGTTGTTGATACATGTTGCAAAGAAACATATGAGTTTATAAACATTCATGAGCGCTTTCAAGTTCATTATTACGAATTATAGGTATTAAAGTCACTTGATAATATGAAATGTTGCCGACCAATGTTGCTACGGCATATACGTGTTTACAAACATTTGTCAGTGTTTCAACATTCACTTATGTTTACGTACATATCTATTTCACTCATTCGGCGCTATTAAATGTTGCCGACACATGTTGCGGAGCAATATATGAGTTTATAAACATCAGCACTTTTATATTAACAATATATGTATTCATGTATGTAAGTAAGGTATATATGGTAAATGTGTTCATTAATTGTGACTTACCACTATCGTCTGTGGCGCTTGCCGCTGTGGTTGTAATGAGACGTCGTGCTTGGAATTTTCTGCGCAACACAGTCGACGGTTGTTTGGTGTTGGTGTTGACATTTGCTTGCTGTATGATGTCATTGCTGGCTGTTGTGGTTGCTGCTGCTGCTGCTCCATCGACATTTGGTGTCTCCGTTGCTAATGATGTGCTGATCGTTGACAAACCAGCTGCTACCAGCTTAGCTCTGTACTTTGTATTTAAATAACTCTTCTGATTGTTGTTGGCGTTGTTCAGTGTAATTGCTGCTGCTGTAAATTGTGTTGTTGTTGGTGCGTTTAAATCGTCCGTTGTAGTTGCTGTTGCTGTTGTGGCGGCCGGTGTTACCAGTTTATTACGATTACGTTGTAGTTGTTGCTTATTAAAGGTCGTCGTCGGTAATTCCGTTGTGATTATTAGCAGCTCATCACTTTTGGTTGAAGCGTCCGCATTAGTTGTAGTTGTAGTTGCTGCCGCCGTTTGGCTCGTCTGTAACGACGTGGTAGCCGTCTGGTAAGCTATACCTGATGAAGCGTTCGGCGAATTGATCTTGCGTCGGCGCACGCTCAGCACCGGTCGTCGCGTCTGCGCCGTGGCGGTTACAATCGTCGTTGCAGTCGGTGTGCGAACCTGAAAGACGTTGGAACACAAGCGCGTTAGTACGGCAATATGCAGCGCTTACATACAGATATTTCGTGCAAAAGATTCGATTTTTATTAACGTATGCTGTTGGTTGGAGGGAAATTTGGAGTAGTGGACACGAGATAGTTTTTTTCTTGTTTGTGCGCACGGCAGGGTTTGCATAAGGAAAGGAAAGTGGCGGATATCCGTGCTTGAGACTGGAAGTTGTGCAAGGGAGTCGCACAGTTTTATTTGTTTGTTTCTTTAGTTTTTTGTGTTGTGTGTATGCTAAAAATATTGTTTTTGTTTGCAACTTCATTTTAATGCGAAATCTGCGTGTTTGTGTTTAATTTTCATTTGTGTGTGTGTGTGTGTGTGTATTGGTGTTACTTCTTCAAGTGGCGGTAATAGCCCTGCAAGTCTAAAAACAACAATATTAATAAGTCCATATATTTTGCAGTTGCTGCTGCAAGTGTGTTAATTAAAAACAACAACAGGAAAGACGTTAGTAAACATAAAAGTATTAAACAGTCGTCTGTTATTTGAATAAAAATAATTTTTGCTTTGTGTTAACTGTGTTTTATTTGAATATGCATACGGCTGTGGCGGCAAAGGTAAGGTGTAAGCTTTCGTGTTTAAACAACTATAATACCAATACTAAATAGCATAAAATATTTTTAAGCAAATAATTTAAAAAAATATATAAGGATGTTTTAAAAGAGGCTGTGAATTAGCCTAAATTGGTTTGAAGATATTTTTGCAGCACTTATTGATTATTGTGAAATATTAGCAAAATATAAAAATATGGATTAAAATTCTTTTAGAACTAAACGTATTGTTAAATATCATTTTTAAAATATTTTGTATATTTATTATATGTATATTTTTGTAATTTGTTTCAAAATAATATGGGTAATTGTTTATTATAGTGAAGCGAATAAATAACAATTATTAGTTAAAATATTTTGGCACTAACATTATTGCTACAAACTAAAAATATAATTTCTTTAATGTATTTTTTGTGAAAAAATAATATCATTATTTAAAAAAGCGAAGTGAGTGTTTAGATGTGCTAAAATTAAAATTAAAAAAGTTTATAAAATATATTTAAAATTTATATATTTATATTTCAACAAAAAATTTGCTTTAAAAAGTCATATAATTAAGTTTTAGTATAAATTCTATACATATTTGAATTTTAGTAGCAAAAAATTAAAATTAAAAAAAAAATTGCTTTTTTGCTACTAAAATTTAAATACAATTAAAGTAAAAGTACAAAGTAATTATATTGTGGAAATATAAAAAATATATTTTTTATTTTGCCTTAAATTTTTTTAATTAAACTTTGAATTTAAATTGTAAATTTAAACGATTTTAGCAGCAATATTAATGGCTTTAAATATAATTCTGCAAAGACTTTTCAAAATAAATTTATGATAAAACCGTAATATAAGTTGTTGATAAAAGTGAAATTCATATTTATATTATGCTAAAATTAAAATGTTAAAGAAAATAATTTAAATAACACGTTTCGTCTCGTCATTTAGAAACTCTTACTCTTTGTGAAAACTTTGATTAAAAAAAATAAAAGGTTTCAACGTCAAGCAGTTGATATTTTATCATTTTTACATATTTTTAATCTATAAATTTAATTTTAAATTTTTAAACTAAAAATTGCAAACAATTTTAGAATATTTTTATAATCAGCTAAATAAAAGAAGTAACTATTCAAACAATATTTTCTAAAAAAATTTCAAAATTGATTTCGAAATTAAAGCAGCAAATATTCAAATATTATTAAAAAAATTTTCAAAATTGATTTCGTAAATAAAGCTGTAGTTATTATTTTATAAAACAAAACAAAAAAACATATAAATTCGTAATATAAAATAGAACTATAACTGTGAGGGTGATATATAATATTAAAAATAATGAAGCCAATTATTTTAATAATATTTCACTTTAGATGCAAATATAAAAGTTTTAAATTTATTTTAGCTTACTTAGCTAATTTTTTTATCCAAGTACAAAAGTGCTCTCTCTTTCTCTCTTTTAGATAAAAATGCAAGATATGGTTTAGCACAATATATATGGAAATCATTATTTACTTACATAAAGATAAAAATGCATAATTTTTTGGATAAGAAATTGAAAGTGAGATACGAAATATTTTTCATCCAATTCATATATTCTATTATATTCTATATATATATTCTATAATAATATTTTTCTTTAGCTAAAATTATACAAATTTACAATATGGCTTAACAGAATTTACAGAAATTCAATACTGATTTACTTAAGGCGGTTACATTCATACATATTTCGAAAAAAATGCACCAAATATTCTTTATATTTTCAGCCAACTAAAAAATCTACGTTGATATTTT